TGCTCAGTGATCATCACCGTATAAACGTTGAATAAGACTGGTGATAGCGGTGATCCCTGTGGCAAGCCTGGATATATCGTTTGCGGTTCTGAGGACCAGCTACCACATCTTAGTACAATCTTTCTCTGGAACAGGACCGCAGCAATCCAGCGGATCAGAATAGGATTGACTTCTAGTTTAAGCAGTAATTGCATTAAATAATCATATGGTACTTTGTTGTAGGCATCTTCTAAGTCCAACACTGCCGCACATGTCTCTTCTTTAACCTGAAATCCCTCGTACACATCGTAGGCGAAAACTGCAGCATTGAACCATGTCTCTTTATTAAACCTGTACCCTCCAAGTGTTGGTGGCAACTTATCATGTAGTTCCAAGTAGGTGGTCAATCTTTGTGCGACAATTTTTTTTCCAAAAGTTTGCCAACAGTATTCTGCATCGAGATGATTCTGTAGCCGCAGATCTTTGAGTGGTCTTTATTAGGCAAATAACTATGGAGCCATTCCTCTTGTATCTGGCCACTCTGGATGCTAATATTGAATTCCTTTGCCATGCTTTTCAAATCAGCATTCGACATCATCAGCATGTCGTTGTATCGGATGCCGTCAGGGCCTGGAGCAGTGCTGCGCGATTTCTTGAGGCAAGTTCTTAAGGTATCTGCAGTGATTGTGAGATCAGTGCCTAGCACAGTGTTCTCGCACAGCATCGACAGTTTCATCTTAACCCCTATTCTTGTAGCTTCATCTTTTTGGTCAGTTTGCTCCAAGTAGCGCGCCAGAGGGGTTTTTCCTTTATCAGCATTAGTTCTCTGCCATATCAGGTTTTTACCCTGAAAATCAGGGATACCCCTTGGTCGTGCGGCGCCGTGCATGCTCCATTGAAGGCGCCAGAATGTCACAAGAGATCCCTCGGAGCAAACACTCTTGCAGAATTCGTTCCATTTCGCTGTCTTAGCTTCCTTCGCAATTAACTTGAAAGCCACTGTCTGCTTGTTGACCTCATCTTTCAGACTGATCAGGCGTTAAGAAAGTGACGGATCAATTTTCCTTGCCTTTTGCCATGCCTTGACAGCTTTCCTTTTTTCTAGCCACGCCATGTTGACTGCTTCATTCCACCATGGTGGCTGGGCCCATCTCTCCCGCCGTCTGCGATCTGCTCTTGTTTTACGTCGTCGGATTTTGCTAATGGCATCTTGCCCTGTACGGTCATATATAAAAGCAGGCACATTGATTACATGTCCTCAAATAATATGCCTAGATAGAATTACATGTCTTTAATGATGTGAGTTGGGAGATTACAGGTGGGGGCGGTGGGAAAAGGGGGGGGGGGAAATCCCAGATTTGCATAATCAGTAAGTAGAGAGACTGTCAGTAAGGACATTCTCGATCAAATATAGTTTAATAAGAATAGTTGACCCGATTGTCACCGGTTGTGGGGAGTTAATGAAGAAGTGTGGAAACAAACAGTGTGATGGTTGATAGACAGATTAGATGGGAGAGAAATAGCTAAGGTTGATTGTGTGTGGCGCTTGGACGTCAGGAATGGGTCTGCGATTGAGTCAATGTGCTATGTATTCAAGATGGCTGCGTGGCACTAGCCATACATTCTCAGACTCAAGACTCACCCAGCCCCCCCCCCCCCCTCCCCTCCCCCGTACATTGCCATAACATAAGGAAGTAACGACAGTCTGGCATAGCTTTCCGTGATTTCCTTGACTTGTGTGTGCCATATCTGTGTCTCCTTCTTTCTTCTCCGAGAGCCCATTTATGTCAGCGACTTTATTGATCACACTGTCCGAGTGACATCTAGAGTTGCGCAGCCACGTCTGCCCTGACACTACCAGGTCAAAGCACAATAATAATATTAATTCCTACTTATGTCCTCTGTTTCTCTGAGGGGGAGCTGCAGTTGTGGCCAGACACACCAGTATCCGCCAGAAGACTGGTTCAAGTCTGCATTGTGGCGAATTTTTATCAGTCAACCGTGGCTCCCAGGTCAACCCTGCCTAAAAGGGTACGAGGTAATGTCCCTGGAAGTAAAGGCGATCAGCGTGATGATCACATCAGTCGTTGACTGCCGATTAGTCTATTTAAGTATCTAGCACCATATGCCGATGCTGTGAGGAGAGAACATGTCTCATGCTTGACTTCCATGAGAGCCAGCTATGGGTGGGATGATCAGTCATTCACCTGGGATTGCAGGTTACTGGGCAACAGTCTGCAGCCTCAACGTAACTGTTGTACGACTGAGCGCGGTATCTGTCTGCAGCCTCAACGTAACTGTTGTACGACTGAGCGCGGTATCTGCCATCTGTCTGCAGCCTCAACGTAACTGTTGTACGACTGAGCGCGGTATCTGTCTGCAGCCTCAACGTAACTGTTGTACGACTGAGCGCGGTATCTGCCATCTGTCTGCAGCTTCAATGTAACTGTTGTACGACTGAGCGCGGTATCTGCCATGTGTCTGCAGCCACAATGTAACTGTTGTACGACTGAGCGCGGTATCTGCCATGTGTCTGCAGCCACAATGTAACTGTTGTACGACTGAGCGCGGTATCTGCCATCTGTCTGCAGCCTCAACGTAACTGTTGTACGACTGAGCGCGGTATCTGCCATGTGTCTGCAGCCTCGATGTAACTGTTGTACGACTGAGCGCGGTATCTGCCATGTGTCTGCAGCCTCATTGTAACTGTTGTACGACTGAGCGCGGTATCTGCCATGTGTCTGCAGCCTTAATGTAACTCTGTTGTACGACTCAGCGCGGTATCTGCCATCTGTCTGCAGCAACGTAACTGTTGTACGACTGAAAGGGGCTGGGAATCTTTTTTTTTTTCTTTTACGTTAGATTAGTGGGCCATCTTCCGAATAACGGTCCCAAATTATCGAGGCCGAAAATATACCCTAACAGGGCCTCAGTCACATGTATATGTCATAGATATATTTATAAGGCTGCATTCTAACTGGCAGTTGTCGAGAAAATGGCTTAAATGTGTGTTTATGAATTGTTGGACGAACTATAGACAAGTATTTCAGCTTCCGTGATGTGAAGCTGCTGTTTACGACCAGTGTCCGCGGATGCTCGGATATTGCTGAATGTCCTCGTCTCCCCAACAATTAAAAGTGTTTAAACTAACAACCAAACTATCACATGACTCCGCACTCTATTTTTACCCTGACCACGTGATCTCTCTCCCCGTCCAAGATTCGCCATTATCTTGTCGGGCAGAACTGACCGCTGCCTGACGTGGACCCGGGGCGCGCAGAGACACATCACCGGCACCTTCATCTGGCGAAAAGTGTTAGCAGACAGGTTGATTTCTTGTTGATGTTAGACGCACACATATTCATACACTAGAGAGAAGGCCATTAGGTACCGTGTGGTGTCGGCTGTAGCAGGCCGGCCTGGTCCCAGACAGACGACGCCGGCTTGGCACCACCATCACATCGTCCTGCAGTCCGGCGTCGTGTCTGACCAGCTCACAGACTTCAGTGTAACTACATTCGCACACACCATATAGTGACCATGTCTCCAGCTTCTCAAACATCTCTTGTTGTATGCTTAGTTAAACAGTGTTCATCTTTGATTATTAATTACATTAGACATTAATTTTTTCGTAATTAAAAGAAAAAAAAAAGGTACAACAGCTTGTATTTCATAGGTAACTGACGAAGTGATGTACTGCTTAGAATAGTCAGTCTAGATAGATCACTGTTGCTTATGATATCATCATTTAACTAAAGCCCACCTTCTTCTTTTTCCCCATCTTCTAATCCTCACAGTAGTCCATTGATGTGATGCTGGTTGTTTCCTGACCCCTTGATTTGCTGGAGAGTGTTGCCCCCCCCCCCCCTTCCAAGCTTCACATCACTGACCATGTCATGACATGTTATTTCCTTTATTCTGTGCAGGCGCCAGTTCATTAATGTTTGTAGTTGTTGTGTATGATTTCCATGTTTCAGATTCAGAAATCAGTACTAGTGTCATGTTTAAAGACTGTTTGGGACTAGGTTTCTTTTCATTTTCACCTATTTCCTAGCACGTACAAACTTTTTTCCAGCTACTTTGACCTTGTATTTGATCTCATAGACAGTTCAACCCTTCTGGTTTATAATTTAGCAATTGTTTCCAATATCTGATTACAGTAGATATGGATGGATCTGTCATCTGCCATGTTAAAAGCTTGTGGCCTTTCACGGCTCAGTTTGGAGGAAGAGTTGTGAAGGAAGATTCTGGAGCTTTTGCCGTAACTACAAGTAGTCTGACTATGGAGGTCATGGCTGTGACTGGAGCAGTAACATGGCTAGAGACACAGACTCTCACTGGAGCATGCTTTCTCAGTGACTCGATGAGTATGCTCAGGAAGATAGAGAAGGGCTAGGGTTTAAAGTCTGGGGTTGGTGTGGCCACATGAGTATCTACCGTATCATTAGTAGAAGTAGCTTGGAGTGGCTGCTGCAGTGGAGGACTGAGCAAGCCTGGGAATGTCCAATGTGCAGTGACGTTGATTTTGATAACATACCCTGCAATGTGGAAGAAATGGAAGCTTGATTACTTATTTCTTAATTTATGGGAACACATTTTTAATTATGTTTTTTTTTAATCTGAGAATGGGTTTATTAATTCCCCAAAAAATGTAATGGGAAATTGGGCTAAAGTAAGAACTTTTAGATATTAGAGCCACAGTCAGAAACAAATTTAGTTTGTCAGTGGAGATATCACTGTATTTATATTTCTTCACTTGTAATTGTATCTCTTCTGGTCATGTGATAGCTCTTCTAAGACGTCTCATCTCCATTTTGATGTAGCTCTCCTCTGTCGCAGTAAGGGTCCAGATTTGACACTGGTAGCAATGAACTGGGCACATACATCATTCTTATAAGATTTGCTTTTAGTCAATATCAAAATGAATTATTGTTTCTTTTCATTTATGGTGTTTGAGCATTATTCAAATATTGCTTGTTATTTGCTGACATCACCTCTTTTCCTTCCAGACTACATGAGAGATGGACACAGACAGCCTGTCATCAAGGGAATGTGTCACCATAGGACCAGATGTTGTAGTAAGGTTATTTCTTCTTCTGTATTCACTGTTATCCCTCGTGTGAGTTCCAGGGCTCCCATTGTAGGGAAAACACTGCTTACCCAAACAAGCATGTCGACTAATTGGGAGCTTCCTTCAGAGTTGGAGTGCATCAACCCCGAGTGGCACGGAACAACCACCTGCACACAAGTAAGCCAGTAACACGGATGTACACGCAAAATTCAGGCCGTGGCACAAAGTCCAGATGGCTGAACAACCAGGATTCTCCGCCGGAACTTATAGCCGGTGAACAAAGAAGAAGAAGAAGAGTTTTAACAGTTATAAGAGCGGTTGGTACCTTGTGCTGTTTCAAATTAGTCCTTGTTTACAGCGGCAGCAGGTATATTATTCCACACCCCCCCCCCCCCCTCCCCCTTCCAAAATCAGAGGCCAAATCTCTTATTGGAGGTTTTGTAAAATAGTAATAGTTAAGTCGCTCACCTCTTGTCAAAATCAAGGGTTCATTTTAGGGGCTGGCTCATTCAGTTGAGAAGTGCAAGTTTGCTAGAGATCCCTGGGATTTGTTCCTGGGGTTACAGAAATCATACTTGAGGGGACACTCTTGACAAGCGACTGTTGGTTCTGCAGAGATGGTTGGAGCTTTGTGGGATAGCACACAGTGCAATCAAGGCTGTCCCCTCAGCTTGAATTCTTTCTTACACAATGTTGATGTCATGTGGGAAACTATTGAAGTAATGGCTGCATTTTCACATGAAGTTATATAGCGTGAAGGAAAGTTGAGTTGATACTGCCTAAAATAGGCCACTGGAAATATCTCACTTAAGGAGGGTTTAATTAAACACTTGATCATGGAACCAGCATACAAGTGTGCTCTCCTGTAGTTGTAGTAATTCTTCTTCTTTTTCTTCTCTTCCACCTTGTACCTCAGCAAAGTGTCCGGGTGTTTAACTAATGTACACTAATTGTGTAGTAAATTAAACACTTTGTGGTGAGTACCGGCACCTTTTCTTCTAGGGAAAAAACCTGGATGCTAATGGTATGTAATTTTTCTTTGGGGGATATTTAAAGTGATCTGGCATACAGTTTCTTTCTTGAGATATAAACACCTCACATGGAAACTTTTATTCTTGGGGTGTACTCTTGAATCCTTCCCTGTCTGCTGTCCTCTGTACTGCAGTCATAATGGAAACAGATCATACCAACAATAATACAACACATGGTCTTTCCCATACTGTCTAGGTTCTCCCATACTCTCTAGGCTCTCCCATACTCTCTAGGCTCTCCCATACTCTCTAGGCTCTCTCACACTGTCTGGGCTCTCCTTCCTCCCCTCCCCCTCCCCCATAGTTACATTCTGTAGACAAATTTACAGAGTTTTGTCCACAGTATTTTGGCTCACTTTTAAATTACGATAAATGAAGTTGCTTTTTCTGACAGACTGGCCATGAAAACTGGACAGATTCTGAAGAGGCTGGTGACCTAGATAGACATTCACATGGTAGAATACAACATGAAGAATGCAGCGTCACTGAAGGTATTCTCACTCAAAATGTTTCAACTGACTTTAGATTGTTAATTTTGTTCTTTGTGGGAATTATTTGAATTGTAAAAATTTGTTGTGTAAGGAGAGTGACTTCATTGCACTTGGTTTGATTGTAACTGGCTCAGTCTCAGAGCAGTGTTTCCCAAACTGTTCTTAGTCACAGCCCCCTTTTTTAATTAAAATCTTTTCACGGCGCCCTAACCTCAGTAAAAGTTTGACTATTTTTATGTAAGAGATATATTTAAAAAAAAAAAAAACTTGCGTCTATGGATGAAGCAGCCAGAAGAGCACGAAGCAGGACCTCATATCTCCCTCAATCCCAAAAGTGGTAAAAGAGGATGTAAAGAAGAAGAACTGTTTCATGTGTGTGCTTCAGGTGTCTGTTGGTAGATACCTCTGTTAGTATAGATTGTGTACATCATGATTCTGTGGCTTAGAGTTTAGTGAAAATAGTTTCACAATGCAATCCTCAACATTTACCTTGGTGCAATCCTGAATGTTTACCGCGGTGCAATTTTCAATGTTTACCATAGTTAAACTCTAAATGTTTATCCCTGTGCAATCCTCAGTGTTTACCGCAGTGCAATCCTCAGTGTTTACCGCAGTTCAATCCTCAATGTTTACCGCTATGCAATCCTCAATGTTTACCACGGTGCAATCCTCAATGTTTCCCTCAGTACAGTCCTCAGTTTTTACCGTGGTGCAATCCTCAGTGTTTACCACTATGCAGTCCTCAGTGTTTGCCGCTATGCAATCCTCAGTGTTTACTGCTCTGCAGTCCTCAGTGTTTACCGCTATGCAATCTTCAATGTTTACCACTATGCAATCCTCAGTGTTTACCTCATAGCAATCCTCAGTTTTTACCGTGGTGCAATCCTCAGTGTTTACCACTATGCAATCCTCAATGTTTACCGCAATGCAATCCTTAATGTTTACCTCGGTGCAATCCTCAATGTTTACCGCGGTGCAATCCTTAATGTTTACAGCAGTGCAATCCTCAATGTTTACTGGGGTGCAATCCTCAGTGTTTACCGGGGTGCAATTCCCACAGTGTTCGTTTTGGGGAAGAGATCATTTTTGTGTCTTTCTTAGTTTGACAGTCCAGTAACACCATAACAGAAATTCTTGGTGCAAAATGGCAAACAGCTACTGAATTTGCAGAATGTTATTTCATAATCAGGCAGAGCTCTCACTCAGGATTTGTACAGAAAATGTTTGTTTTACCTTTATTTGTGTGGGAAGATTTTTTTTTGGTTGCCTGGGTTTTTTTTTTTCCACCAATGAATAGTTACAATGATGATGTAACACAAAATGACACAATTGCCTTTATTCTTAAAATGGGTTCTCTATTCAACTTGGGACAAGAAGACAAAATATCATGAGTTTATATTGAATAGTTGTGAAGCCTTTGTGTTGCACAAATCTACAGCCACTTTATTATGATGATCTACAACCAGATTACACAGTTTTTTTTAAAATATAAATTAATACTTGAAGATTGTTCTTCATTCAGTTTAGTGCAATAATACAACATATTATGAGCTTATATTAAATAGCTGTGAAGCTATGGCATTTTTCTTTGTCAAAAAAAAAAGATTTTTCAGTGGCCTTTTTTTTTTTTTGCACAAATGTGCAACCACATGATGTCAAACCAGATTATGCAGTTTTTTTTCCCCTGAAATGTGTTCTCCATTCAGTTTGATACAAAAATATCAAATATTTGTGAAGCTATGGCGTTTTTAGTAGACATTTAAAAAAACATGGTGTCTGGGAAGATGCTAGGGTTAACAGGCTTGGTACGCGGTGGGTCAGTCAACACAGAATGGGCATGATCAGTCATCTGATGCTTGTAGAGCGACTGAGGAGGTCGGAGCACCCATAGATCTGTCTGGAGTGATGTGTGTGCTCACTAATCTCTGATGCGTGGGTTAATTCATTTCTCAGTGTCTTCCTTGGTTACTTCAGTTCATTGTTTAGTCTGGTAAGCATTTGACAACCTAAGTATTGAACACTGCTTTTTATTACAACATTATCTTTTTTTTTTAATTTCAGAAGTTGCTTCCCCTGGCTGGAACTCTGTAGCAAGTAACAAAGCTCAAAACTCACAAATACAGCGTGACAATGTGTGCAGCCAGGAATGTTCGGGACATGTCAAGTTAACAAATGCATCCAAAATATTACCCGAAGACAAGTACAACAGTGTTTATAATGTAAATAATACAGATTGTTGTAGCAGAGTCCATGGTGTGACAGACAAAAGTGACTTGGGCTCAACATCAAGTGATAGTAAAATATCCATCTGTAACAATCACAAACAATCAAATGATGTCTGTGAGACACAAAACATCCTTGTAACCTCACACAAGGAAAACTGCAGCAGTGAGTCAGGTGATGATGTGCTTCTAGAGTCTGGACTGGATGGTCAACAGTCTAATACTGTCAGCAGTCAAATTCAGTGCAATATTGATGTCAATTGTGAAGGTCAATATGATAATCAGGGTGTAGACACTTCTGTAACATGTGATGTCTGTGGGGTGTCTTTTCATAGAAATGACACTTCCAGCGAATGCAAAGTAAGACTCGTTGAATGTAATTCTGGTGGTATACAGTATTCTCAGTTCTGCAGTAAAAAACCGAACACAGGAGAACATGCCAGAGAGAGTCCTGGAGGGAGTGATGAGTCCAACGATGAATCTGATGATAGAGATGTACAGGAAGAGCAAACTGCACAGAGAACTAATAAATGTAAGAACTGTAGATTAGAAATTCCTGAAAACATTATTCTAAAAATGCAGAATAGAACACGTATTAGAGACTTGTTTGATGCGTGTGAAGCATCAATTGCTGAAAGTAAAAATCTATTGTTTGACACGTATGAAACATCAACTGCTGACATGAACAATCTGCCCAGAAACAAAAAAAAATACACAGAAGAGAAACCTTTTAAATGCGATATCTGTGGTGTCTCGTTTGCTCATAATAGCTATCTAATAGACCATGTCAGAATTCACACTGGAGAGAAACCTTATATTTGTGATGATTGCGGGGCAACTTTTGCTCGAAGGAGCAATTTAAACAAACACAAAAGAGCACATAATGCTGTGACATCATGTGAGTGTGACATTTGTGGAGCGTCCTTTTCTGATACTGGTCACCTGGTAGTACATAAGCAAAAACATACCGGGGAGAAGCCTTTCAAATGCCATATATGTTTTTTATCATTTGCTCAGACGAACCATTTAATCAGACACCAAAGAACGCATACTGGAGAAAAACCTTACAGATGTGATGTATGTGGAGCTTTATTTGCGCAGAGTTTTGGTCTAAATCGGCATAAAAGAACACATACTGGGGAGAAACCTTACAAGTGTGATGTATGTGGGGCCTCGTTTACTGACAGTGGCCATCTGTTAACACATGTAAGAAAACATACCGGAGAGAAACCATACGTATGTGATCTTTGTGGGTCATCCTTTGCTCAAAGTATCTCTCTAAAAATACACAAAAGAACACATACAGGAGAGAAACCTTACAAATGTCACAGCTGTGATTTGTCATTTGCACAGCGTTACCATCTAAAAATGCATGCAAAAACACACAATAAAGAAAAACCTCCCATGTGTGATACCTGTGGAGCATCATTCCCCCATAATAGTCATCTAATACGTCATAAAAGAATTCACACAGGGGAGAAACCTTACAAATGTGATGTCTGTGAGATGTCATTTTCTGAAAGTTATGGTTTAACAATACACAAGCGCAGACATACTGGAGAGAAACAGGTCAAATGTGACAGTTCTGAAGAATCATTGTCTCATACTTATGACCCAATAAAACATGAACGAGGAGATGCTACAGAGAAACCTTACAAATGTGATGTATGTGAAGCTATGTTTGCTCAGAGTTCGAGTCTAACAAGGCACATAAGGACACATACCGGGGAGAAACCTTACAAGTGTGATATATGTGAATCATCTTTTGCTGATAATGGTCATCTGATAGAACATTCCAGAAGCCATACGGGAGAAAAGCCATACAAATGTGAAACATGTGGTCTATCATTTGCTCAAACCAGCCATCTCACAACACACAAAAGAATCCACACTGGAGAGAAACCTTACAAATGTGGTGTTTGTGGAGCATCGTTTGCTCAGAGCTTTAGTTTAACGAGACACAAAAGAACACATTCTGGAGAGAAGCCTTACAAATGTGATCTTTGTGAAGTTGCCTATGCTCAGAGGTTCAGTCTGACCAGACACAAACTGCAACACGCTGAAGAAAAGCTTTGCAAGTGAGGTGTTGTGGAATGTAAGCCAACTATGGTAGCAGTCTTGGAAAACATTGGACTGATAAGTCCAGTCTGAGCCTGGAAAGCAGTGCAGACAACAGTTGAGGTGCAATTTGACTGGCCTGTCACCATTTCTGTGTCAGTGCAACCACCACTGCCTGGCAGGCTGATGTGCCATGCTTGAGTTTTGTAAAACATGCAGATCTGGCTTGTGCAGCAGCCTCCATGGTTTCTTTGTTTTTACAAAAGCATTCTAGGAAAATCCACAAGTGGAAGAAACCTGTTGTGACTGGAGAGAACCTGAAAGACATAGTTTGTTAATAGTTTGGATTATCATCACAGCACTTCAGCCAATACCAGAGATGCTCAGGTATCCCCCTCAGTAGCTCTACAGGCATAAAGCAACTAAAGGTGCCTATTCTATGTTGATTAATCAAATGTCTTGCCCCCTTCATGAAATATTAATCTCTCGCAGATCCAGGTAGTGCTCAATGTCTGTCAGTCTGAATAGGGATATGTTGTCATGCCTCTTGCTGTAAGTGCTGCATAAGGCATTGATGATCAGGTGACATCAAACTAGTCGGTGACATATTACAAAGAATGTGACATCAAACAAGTTAGGGAAATACTACAAACAAACGTGACATCAAACAAGTCAGTGAAATACTACAAACAGAAAATGTGACATCAAACAAGTCAGGGA